TGCTTTGTTTTGTTTTTTAAGCTGCCTTCATTTCTGAATCTCACTAGTTTTGGCTGCCTAAAGCACCAGTGATGCCTTACCAAAATGTACAGTTGATTAAAAATCACACAATTACACTGTAGACTTAGTGGGAGAGGCTGGGTACCACTGGAGTCTTTCCTGGGGTGATGTGACCCAAACTAGAATCCCTAGTTGAAGATATTGACAGAACTTCATATCATACTCATAGTTTACGGTTACTAGAACTGCATCCGCTCTAGACAAGAGCTAATGCAAATTGTCTTCAGTTTAGGTGAGGACTTTGGAAGAAGAATCACTTTTCCCTATTTAATCCTTAGCATCTGTCACTGCTCTTGGCTGTCTTTTTATGTGATCATAATCTTGTATCTACTTTGAACCAGTACTGAAAATTGTGTTTGGATCAAGTGGGATCTCTAGGAAAAAGGTAGAGAGATATTTAAGGCTCTGAAATATTCATATATATTCAGGATGCATAAGGATACCAAAAACACATGGCTTAGAAAGTGAATACTGCTTGATTTTGCCAAACTATGGTGAAATGTTTAGCATAAATTTGATAGTTTGTCTTTTCTAGTTGGCTTTGAATTGACAGCAGACCAGAGAGCGACTTTATGTCAGTCTCTGGAAAGGATTTCAAACTTTAGAAATCAGTTTGTGTGATTAAGAGGAAAAACATTAAATGTCGAGATCAGGAATAAGAGAGGGGACATCATTCAGAGCCTGCAGATAGTAAAAAGATAAAAAGGGAATATTATGAACAACTTTAAGTCCATGAATTTGACAGTTAGATATTATGGGTAGATTGTGTGTAAGGATTCTGTACCCATTCAGATTTGTTTGTGTATGGTGGCAATGGGTTCCCAAACCAAGCCATTCTGCAGCACCAGCTGGGCATCTTACAGTTCAACTCAATTCTGACACTGTCTGCCTGGAGGCCACATCATAGCATCAGGTCCCACAGATTAAACACTCATTCCTATAGGACTGCCCCCTCATCCTAGCCACTCATTTCGAGTCCAGGTTTGTTGTCTGACCCACCAGCTGTAAATGGCTGTAGATCTGAGGTTCCAACATCCCCCTCCTTGGCTTCGATTACTTTGGTAGAGTGACTCAAAGAACTCAGAGAAACACTGACTAGATCATTGATTTATTACAAAAGAATATAACCCAGGAACAGCCACATGGGAGAGATGCATGGGACAAGGTATGGGGAAAGGTGTAGAGCTTCCATGCCCTCTCCAAGCACACTACTCTCCCCAAATCCTCACGTATTCACCAACCTGGAAGCTTTTGAACCCCATCCTTTTGGATTTTTATGGAGGCTGCATTACATATGCATAATTGATTAAATTATTAGCCATTGGTGAGTGATTCATACGCCAGCCCTTCTCTCCTCCCCTAAGGTCAGAGGGGTGGGCCTGAAAGTTCCAACTCTCTAATCACAGGTTTGGTTCTTTTGGCAACCAGCCCCTATCTTTAGGTGCAGTCCAAAAGTCACCTCATTAACACAACAAAAGACACCTTTGTTGCTCTTACCACTTTGGAAATTCCAAGGGTTTTAGGTGCTCTGTGCTGAGAATGGAGATGAAGACCAAATATGTATTTCTTAGTATAAATCACAATATTACACCTTGAGAGATACAAATTACCAAAACACCCCAGGAGAAATTAAAAAAAAAAAAAATCTGACTAGTCCTAAATCTGTTGAAGAAATTGATTTGTAGTTAAAAACCTACCCACAAAGAAGACTCCAGATCCTGATGGCTGCATTAACATATTCTGTATATTAGAATGTTTAAGGAATACCAATTCTATTCAAACTCAAAAAATGAGGTGGAGGGAATACTTCCCATCTCCTTTTTATGAGGCCATTATAGGCCTGGTAATTATTAGACAAGACCATTATAAGGAAAGGAATTCAAACCACTAACCTTCATGGTTGTAGATAGAAAAATTCTTAACAATATGTTAGCAAGTTAAATCTAGGATAATAATGTCATGATTAAGTTGGAGTTATCACAGAAATGAGAGATTGTCATTTTAACATATTAATAATTAACATATTTAATAGCTTAACAAGAAACAATAAAGGAGAAAATTCGTATGATCATCTCTCAGTAGATGCAGAAAAAGCATTTGACAAAATTTAACACTCATTCATGATAAAATCTCTCAGAAAACTGGGAATATAAAGAAATTTACCCCATTTGATAACAGAGAAACCTACAGGTATCATACTTGGAGAAATGTTGAATACTTTACTACTAATATCAGGAACAGAGTAAGGATGTCTGCTCTCAGTACTTTTTTTTTTTTAATTTTATTTATTTATTCCTGAGAGACAGACACACACACACACAGAGAGAGAGAGAGAGAGAGAGAGAGAGAGGCAGGGAGAGAAGCAGGGAGAGAAGCAGGGAGCCTGACATGGGACTCGATCCCGGGTCTCCAGGATCATGCCCTGGACTGAAGGTGGCGCTAAACCGCTGAGCCACCCGGGCCGCCCTGCTCTCAGTACTTCTATTTGACAATATTGTGGAGTCCCTACTTAATGTAATAAATCATGAAAAGGAAATAAAAGGAAGGAAGGAAAAAGAGAAGGAAGAAGTAAAACTTTTTATTTGCAGATGTGATTGTGCACAGAGAACATTGTAAGGGATCTACCAAAAACACTTTCTAGACCTAGTAAGTAGATTTTGCAAGGTCATAAGATACAGGAATACAAAGCTACTGTACAAAAATCAGTGTATTTCTATATATTAAACAACTGAGAAATGAAACAAAAATAATAGCCTTATTATTTTAATATCTTAAAGACAACGTAAATAAACAGAGAGATATAGTACCATGTTTCTGGATTGGAAGACTCAGGATTATTAAGATATGACTTAGCCACAAATTGCTGTATAAATCCAGTTCACTTCCACTTAAAATTCCAGCAAGGTTTAACAAATTTTTTATTAGAAATAAACAAGCTAATTCTAAAATTTATTTGGAAATGCAAAGGACGCAGAGTAACCAAACAACTTTGAAAAAAAGAATTAGTTTTATATTATTTATATTGTTATTTTATAATACTTAAAGTTACAAAAATCGTTAGTATAGAATTGTTTTAGTGATAGATATATATAACAATGAAAGGCAGTGGAGAATTGGGAGACCCATGCATACATGATTATTAGTATTCAGTGAGATGATTTGAGTGGTGCTGGAACACATAGATATCCATATAGACAAAATGAACCTTTATCTTTACCTTACATCATGGAAAAAAGTTAACGCCAAATAGATCACTGACATACATGTAAAAGCTAGACAATAAAACTTCTAGTCAAGAACAAAATATGTGTGACTTTGGGGGTAGACAAAGAGTTCTGTGAAAGGACACAAAAGCACCAACCAGAAAAGAAAACAACACGATAAATTGTATTTCATCAAAATGAAAACTTGTGCTCTTTGTAAAACACCATTAAGAAAATGAAAAGTAAAGCCACTGATGGGGAGAAAATATTTGTATTATGTGTATTTGATCAAGGACCTGCTTCCCGACAACCCAATTTTTAAAATGGGAAAAAGCAGAACTGCCTAAAAGAAGGTACATGAATTGTGTATCAGCACATGAAAAGATGTTCAATAGCATCATGATGGGGGGGGGATGCAAATTAAAACCACAAAGAACTACCACTGTACTCCACTAGAATAGCTAAATTTAAGAAGAATAAAAATATTAAGGGTTATTGGGTATGTAGGATAGCTGAACTCAAACATTGCTAAGAGACATGCAGAATTACATAGCCACTTAGAAAAATATTTTGACGATTTTCATTAAGTGAAGCATACATTTATCACGTGGACTACTCCTAGGTACTTACTCAAGGGAACTGAAAACAGTGTCCACAAAAGGACTCATACATGAATGTTCATAACAGCTTTATTCATAGTATTCCCAAATTTGAAACAGTCCCAAATCCATCAACAGACAACTGTGGTATATCCATGTAATAGTATACTACTCAGAAATTTAAAAAGAACAAACTGTTGATACGGTTAGCACCATGAATGAATCTCAAAATGCTGAGGAAAAAAAAGAAGCCAGACTTGGAAGAGTGCATGATTCTACTTATATAAAATTTCAGAACTTAGTCAACTAATCTATAGTGAGAGAGAGCAGCAGATCAGTGGTTGTCTAAAGTTGGGAGGGCTTTGATTGCAGAGAAGCATGAAGGGAGTTGGAGAGATGAAAATGTTGGTTGTATGGTAGTTGTGTGGTTCTATGGATGTGTGCAGTGGACAGAATTCACTGCAGCGTACATTTTAAAGGGGGACACACTTCTGTATAAATGAAATTGCACTAAAATTTATTTTTTAAAAAAACCCGTTTGACAACACTAGATTTTGGTGAGGATGTAGAGCATCTGATACATTGCTGATTGGAGTGTAAAATGGTACAATATTTAAAAAAACCTTTTGGCAGTTTCTTATAAAGTTCACCATATACCTACTTTATGATCTGCCATTTTCATTCCTACATAATTACCCCCAAGGGAAATAAAACACATGTTCACACAGAAGACTTGTTCAGGAATGTTCATAACAGCTTTATTCATGATGGCTGCAAACCAGAAACAACTCAATGTGTATTAATAGGAAAGTAGCTAGATTTTCATTTATTCCTACTGTGGAATACTTTTTGGCAATAAAAAATAGTAGACTATGTACACATGCAGCAAGATGGATGAATATTGCCTGTGGGGGTAAGGAGACTTTCAGAATGACTAGAGGACACACAGGAAACTTCCTGGGGGTAATGGAAATGTTCTGTCTCATGAGATTAGGGTGAATTACTTAGATACATGCATTTGTAGCATATTATGAACCGTATACTTAAGAGCTGGTGCTTTGTAAGAGTTAAACATTCTGTGTAAATATTTATGCCTCAATTAAAATAGGTGAAAATGCAATTAAAAATACAAAACACGGTTCATTTGAGCAGCACATATACTAAAATTGGAACAATACAGAGAAGATTAGCATGGCCCCTGCACAAAGATGACACATATATTTGTGAAGTGGTCCATAATTTTTTTTTTAATGCAAAACAGGGAAAAAAAACTAAATATAATGAGAAGTTAATGGGCAAAACTAAAACTACCAGCTAAGACATTAAATACCTCACCCACTACTGGAATATTAGTTTTGTCTTCCCTTACTCTGAAATCCTCCAAATATATATATATATATATATATATATATATATATATATATATATTTAAAGATTTTATGTATTTGAGAGAGCAATGCACGAGTGTGGGGGAGCGGGAGCAGAGAGAGAGGGGAAGCAGACTCTCTGCTAAGCTGGGAGTTCACTTGGGCCTCCATCTCAGGACACTGGGATCATGACCTGAGCCAAAAGCAGACGTTTAACCCATGGAGCCACCCAGGCAGCAGCCCCCCCAACTATATTTTTTAAAAAGAAGGAAATCAAAATAATTTTAGCTTCTGTGATTTCTAAGATCTAATTTCAAAGTTTTTTTTCAAGAATAGTCAGGGAGAGAGTTTCTGTACCTTTCAGAAAGTTGACATCTTAAAACTTTATAGCTCTAATACCATATGTTACATCATATCGTTGGACTTATCTTATTCTCCTAAATAGTTTGGCAACATTCTTTTCTTTTTTAAAGATTTTATTTTATTTATTCGTGAGAGACAGAGAGAGGGAGAGAGGGAGAGAAACAGGCACAGGCAGAGGGAGAAGCAGGCTCCATGCAAGGAGCCCAACATGGGACTCAATCTCGGGTCTCCAGGATCATGCTTGGGCTGAAGGTGGTGCTAAACCACTGAGCCACCCTGGCTGCCCTTTGGCAACATTCTTAAGTTTTGTTTTTCAATAGAGAAAATTTTTCAAATTTTTTCCCCTTAATTATAGCTAACATTGAAAACTTCTAAGTAATTGAATATGAAAATTGAAAAATTACATATTCTGTAGATTTTAAGTTACAAACTATTGATATATCTTGGATTTAATGAAACTCGCATGCAACGTTTAGGCAATTTAATTTTATCTAAGCCTTTAATTTTTTTTGGAAGCATACCTAAATAAGTAAACTCTGAATACAGTCTGTATATATTAAAAAAAGTAGGGACGCCTGGGTGGCTCAGCGGTTAAGTGTCTGCCTTTGGCTCAGGGCGTGATCCCAGTCCTGGGATCGAGTCTTATGTTGGGCTCTGCACGAGGAGCCTGCTTCTCCCACAGTCTATGGCTCTGCCTCTCTTTCTGTGTCTCCCATGAATAAATAAATAAAATCTTAAAAAGAAAAATAAAAGTAGTTGATTTGTTTGCTTATGAAAGTATTATACAAATTACTATAGTACTAGATTCTTATGTAGGTAAAAACCTGTGTTGTACTGTTTCCCTTAGCTATGACAGGTAATTACATTTTTTATTTCAGAAATTCTTGATTAACTTTTTTTATCATGGTGAAATACATATACAATTTACCATTTTAGCCATTTTTACATGTATAATTAAGTGCATTAAGTACATTCACAGTGTTGTGTTATGATTATCACTATTTCCAGAACATTTTCATCATCCCGAACAAAAACATTGTGCTCATTGAGCTATAACTCCTCATTCCCCCTAACCCCAGTAGTGTCTATTCTGCTTTTAATATGAATTTGCCGATTGTAGGTATCTCATAGAAGTGGAATCGTATAATATTTGTCCTGTTGTGTCTGGCCTATTTCACTTAGCATGAAGTTTTCAAGGTTGACCTGGTATAGAACATGTCAGAACTCCATTCCTATTTATGGCTGAATAAAATTCTTTTGTATGTGATACTATATTTTCTCATCCGTTCATCTGTTGATGTACACTTGGGTTGTTTTCACCTTGACCATAGTGAATAATGCTGCTATAATGTTGTATGCAAATTTCTCTTTGAGTCCCTGTTTTTAATTCTTTTGATTATATGTTCAGACGTGGAATTGCTGGGTCATATGGTAATTCTATGTTTAACATTTTGAGAAACTGCCAAACTATTTTCCACAGTGGCTGACCATTTTATATTTCTATCAACCAGTGTATGAGCATTGCAGTTTCTCAACATCCTCACCAATACTTGTTATTTTCCATTAAAAAATTACTTTTTAAAAATTATAGCTAACCAGCATACGTATGAAGTGTTATCTCATTGTAGTTTTGGTTTGCATTTCCATAATGATTATGATGAATATCTTTTCATGTGCTTGTTGGACATTTGTCTTGTTTGCAAAATGTCTATTCTAGGTTGTTGCCCATCTTTAAATTGGGTATGTTTTTTGTTGTTAACTTGTAGGAGTTCCTTATATATTCTTGATATTAATCTTTTATCAGATATATGATTTACAAATATTTTCCCCCATTTTGTATGTTTTATTTTCACTTTCTTGATAGTGTCCTTTAATGCATAAAATTTTAAATTTTTATGAAGCCCAATTTATCTTTCTATTTTGTTGCCTTTGCTTTTGGCATCATAAGAAAGAAGTGATTGCCAAATCCAGGGTCTTGAAGATTTTCCACAATATGTGAAAACAATATGTGTTTTGTAGTTTTAGCTCTTAAATTTAGATATTTGATCCATTTTGGGCCAGCTTTTCTGTTTTTTTTTTTTGGGGGGGTGCAGCTTTTCTATACAGTATACAGTAAAGGTATTATTTCATTCTTGTGGATATCCAGGTTTTTCAGCACCATTTGTTTGAAAAACTATCCTTTCCCCATTGAATGGTCCTGGCACTGAATTGAAAATTAATTTACCATATATGTGAGAATTTATTTCTGGGCTCTGTAATATTTTCCATTGATCCATAGGTCTATATTATACCACAGTGTGCCAGTAGCATGCTGTTTTGATTACTGTAGTTTTGTAGTAAGTTTTCAAAGTGGGGAGTGTGAGTCTTCGACCTTTGTTATTATTGTTTTGTTGTTGTTCTTTTTTTTTTTTTTTTTACATTACTCAGTGCTCATCATGATAAGTGTACTGTTCAGTCTCTATCATCTATTTTACCCATATCCCACCCACTCCCCTCTGGTAACCATATGTTTGTTATCATAGTTAAGAATCTGTTTCTTGGTTTGTCTCTTTCACTTTCTTTTTCCTTTGTTCAATTTGTTTTGTTTCTTAAATTCCACGTATGAGTGAAGTCATGCGGTATTTGTCTTTCTCTGACTAATTTTGCTTAGAATTATACTCTCTACCTCTATCCATGTTGTAGCAAATGTCAAAATTTCATTCTTTTTTTATGGCTGAATAATAGTCCATTATGTGTGTGTGTGTGTGTGTGTGTGTGTGTGTACTTCCTTTACCCATTCATCTACTGATGGACACTTGGGCTGCTTCTGTAATTTGGCTAATGTAAATAATGCTGCTATAAACATAAGGGTGCATGTATCCCTTTGAATTAATGTTTTTGTATTTTTTTGGTAAATACCCAGTAGTGAAATTCTTGGATTGTAGGCAGTTCTACTTTTAACCTTATTTATTTATTTATTTATTTATTTATTTATTTATTTATTTATTTATTTATTTATTTATTTATTTATTAGGAGCCCTGAGATAAAGAGTTAGATGGTCTACAGATTGAGCCAGCTGTTTTTTAACCTTTTGAGAAACCTCCATACTGTTTTGCACAAGGGCTGCACCAGTTTGCATTCCTACCAACAGTGTATAAGTGTTCCTTTTCCTTCACATCCTTACCAACACTTGTTATTTCTTGTATTGTTGATTTTAGCCATTCTGACAGGTATGAGGTGATAGCTCATTGTACTTTTGATTTACATTTCCCTGATGATGAATGATGTTGAGCATTTTTTTCATGTACCCATTGACTATCTGTGTGTCTTCTTTGGAGAAATGTCTGTTCATGTCTTCTGCCCATTTTTAAATTGTATTATTTGATATTTGGAAGTTGAGTTATGTAAGTTCTTTATAGATTTTGGATACTAGCCCTTAATTGGATATGTGCTTTGCAAATATCTTCTCCCATTCAGTAGGTTGCCTTTTAATTTTAATTTTGTTGATTATTTTCTTCATTGTGTACAAGTTTTTAATTTTGATACAGCTCCAGTGATTTAAATTTGCTCTTTCTTTTTTTTAAAAGATTTTATTTACTTACTTGAGATAAAGAGAGAGACAGAGAGAGTGAGCACAAGTTGGGGGAAGGGCAGAAGGAGAGGGAGAGAAAATCCAAAGCAGACTCTGCACTGAGCGTGGAGCCTGCGCTGGGGTTCCCTTCCATGACCACAAGATTATGACCTAAGCTTAGACCAAAAATCAGACACTTAACTGACTGAGCCACCCAGGTACCCCTATTTTTGCATTTTTTTTCCTTGAGACATCTAGAAAAACATTGCTATGGCCAATGTCAGAGAAAGAACTACCTGTACTCCCTTCTGGGATATGTATGGTTTCCGGTCTCACATTTAGGCCTTTAATTCATTTTGAGTTTATTTTTGTGTATGGTGTAAGAACATGGTCCAGTTTATTCTTTTGCATGTAGCTGTCCAGTTTGCCCAGCATGCTTTGTTGAAGAGACTTTTTCCCATTGGATATTTTTCTATGGTAGTGTTTTTGCTTTTCTCTAGATAATATTAACAGGGAAAGTCAGGAAAAAGTGAATTTGTTTCTGTTAGATTAACTGTGTAAATCCCAAAGACTTTGTTTGCCAGATGATCTCAAACCTCTAGTTTGGAAAAGAGGCTAGTTGGATTTTTTTGGTTTTAGAGCAAAAGTATAGACCATCAGAATAGATTCCTAATAGATGGAAATAAAAGAGTAATTAAGTCTTTGCAAAGGGTGATAATGGTTGTTAAAGATCTATATAATGTATACTTTTTTTTTGCCTAAAAATATATAAATCAGAGAAAAAGTTACAGTCTTTTGATTTCTAGCATTCGATATTTATTTGTTTTGAGTGTCATAGTCTTTTTAATATTCTTTATTCCTATTGCACTTTAGGTATTTATACTATTGACATTTACTAACCTTTTATTTAATCTTAATATACTTTTGGTAAGTGCTAGGCTCTAACATCTGTTTCCTGGAAG